ATCAAGGTAAGAGCTGCTTTTCCCAGCTGCTTTCAGTCTGGGCTGTTGGGAAGTGCAATTCAATCACTCGCTCTTGCTGCCTAGAGGTAACTCTGTTGAAGGCGACTAACACCTTTTTAAAAAAAAAAAAAAAAAAAAGGCAAGCCTTGCCCCCTTGGTTAATCATTTATCATTGCTACAAGCCACATTGTTAGAAGAGTCCATAATGAACTCCGTTAACTACGGAAATGATTGATTTGGAGAGCAGGGGTCTTGTTCTGTATTGTGATTGTTCGTTGACAGCTGCATCTCTTTACAGAAAAACATACCTGCTGTTGAATGACTGCATTTTGATGGGAAATGCAGTTTTTTGCTGATGTGCTAGTGAGTTTCCACTGCCGAAGCATTAGCACAAACCACAAGAGTGTGAGAGGGTTGGCTTGTTGGGGTTGTATGTGTGAACCTGCTGGCTAGCCCTGTGCTCTTCTAGAGTCGCTTTTGGCAAAGCGAAACACGAAAAAAAAAAAAAATGCAGCATTGTCAGTATCTGGAAGAGGCTGAAATACTTTGTCGCAGGTCAGGATAGCAGGAGGGAGGATGGGTAGTGAAGGAGAAAAAGCACTGCCGAAGGGACAGGGTTAGCCTGAAATGACTCCTCCTTATGCAATGTGCTTGTTGTAGGAAACAAAGAACAGTGCCCTGGTAGATTTCCCAGCTGTGATCAAAGAAATCTGTAGTAGATTATGCAAATCGCTTACTGAATAGAAAACTGTTTCTGAGAAATCCTACTAAACGATGCAGCAAGGAACACAGAACTCCCAGGGCACGTTTTTATGTTACCGTGGATCATAACAAACCCCGAGTTGGTTTGGTTAAGGGAATTGAGGCCCCTTCGTGGACAGATTTGGTAATGCAAATGGCTGAACCCATGTGGAATGACCCACGAACTACTACAATTCAAATAATTTCCCCTGGAGAGGCTCTGTCCTCAGAGACTTTTTATACTGATGTGTATGATTTATTAGGAGCTGGGAGGTGGAAAAGATGTGAGGAGATGGCATTGTTCTTGGAGACTGCAAGGCAGCTTGGTTCAGGGCTCTTTTGCAGCTTAAATCCTTCTGGGACCTGGGAAGGTCTAAGCAAAGCAGTGGAGGTGGGAGGGAAGGAGAAAAGGATGAAACTAATTATTGAGTCATATTTGATCATGTCAGAAACTTGAAGAGGCTGAGAGGAGAAGCCAACACCAGCTTGAGAACCTGGAACGGGAACAAAGATTCCTAAAGAGAAGACTGGAACAACTACAGGGTCCTCAGGAGATAGAGCGAATACGAATGGACAGCATTGGATCTACCATTTCCTCAGATCGCTCAGACTCGGAGCGAGGTTGGTGTCGCTGAACTAACACTGAATCCCCAGGACTCTGCGAAGCAAGGGCATGAGATTCATCCATTTCTTATCTCTCAGCTACCCCCTTCTCATGGCCTTTGGTATTTAGGCTACTGATTTTGCTCGCACACACACACATATAGGAAGAGTTTAATATTTTGCATGAGTTCTAATTAAGTCTGGAAGAAGTGTTGTTATTGTCAACTTGAGCTGATTCCTGTGGCATTTAAAGTGACCTGTTTCTCTGAAAAGCTCTCTAAAATGCCAAAGCATTGGTTAGGAAGGATGGTAGCTAAATACCTGATGGTAAAGTTGAGATATCCGTTGTGCTCTTTGGTCTACAGAATCTCTCAGCAGCACAAAGAGGAAAATCTGAGATGATATTAGTGGGACTGGAACGGATGTTGCAAAGCATCATCCAGCTTCTCATTCTGTATTTGGGCCACGGTATAACCAAGTTACCATGGTATAACCAAGCAAACAGAACCAAGCAAATTGCCTCTTCAAATTTCTGGAGTCATTCTACACACACACACACACCCCCCACACCCCCTTTTTTTTTTCCCCCCAAGCTGCCCATATTGTCCATCTCCTCAGTTAAAACTGGATAGAGGTGATCTGAATGGCTAACTGAATTCAGATAGTTTTCTTTTTTTAAATATCTCTGCTGTGGAGAGATATTTAGGCACAATAGATGGTTTGATATTTACTGACAGACCCAATGATGCTGTGTAGTTTGGGTGTGAGTCTGTAGTTTTTTAAAAAAAAAAAAAAAGATCCTTTTGGAAATTCCTAAACGATATGGGAACCAAGATATCTGGTTAACTAGATCTCTGCTTTCTAAGTCTTTCTTAAAAATAACATTTATGTTCTGAAGTCCACTGAGCATCTCTGAGAGTAACCCAGATCCCCATGGTAATGCATCATAATGCCCTATATGAGTGGTCCTGGCTTTGGCAACGTAATATCAAGCAAGTAGCACGTTTCTGGTAACTTCATGCTCCATTTTCTCTGTTGTCCTCTGTTTTATCTGTTTCTTTTTGTTTCCAACACTGGAGTAGTAGAGCTCCAAAGAAAAAGGTAGAGGAACAAGTTTAGTGTGTGGGGTGGCCCACCTATGCTGATAGTGTGGCCTGCATGCTGGAGGAGTCAAACCCCTTTGCCAAGTCTCTAAGAAAAACTCCAAGCTGGTATCTAGTCTTTTTATAAATCATGTCCGCAGCCCATCCCGTTCCAGGGAGAACGCTGAAAGTCTTCCTGCCAGACTGCTGCTTCATCCCTGACAGGGGGAGTCCCAGCAGCTCGCTGGCTTCAAGGGAGCAGTTGGGTCTGTGGTGCTAACCTGTGTGTGTTTCTCTCATTTTCCTTTTTAGAAGAGATTGAAGTGGACGTTGAAAGCACAGAGTTCTCCCATGGAGAAGTGGACAATATCAGCACAACCAGCATCAGTGACATTGATGATCACAGCAGCTTGCAGAGTATTGGGAGTGACGAGGGTTACTCCAGCGCCAGTGTCAAGCTCTCGTTTGCTTCCTAGAACCAAGTGAGACAACAGTGCAGGGCGAATGATTTCACTGGGGTGATCAAACTGGGTCCTAGATGCCAGTATCCTCTTTCAGAAATGACATATTGACAGCTAGTCCTGGAGAGACCTGTATATAAAACGCTTTGGGTAAAGGAAGCCTCCACAGAAACCCACATGTGTTCATTTGGTCATGTTACCAATCCCAACTCCTGCTGGCAAAAAGTTAGACCAAACACTAGTCCCTTTGAAGTCAGTGACATCCGTTTGTTTCTGTGGGACCTGGATCTAGACCTTAGTGGTAAAACACTTTGTTTTGAATTTATTTGTTTGAAAGAGGATACTAGAGACTCATCCCTCTCTTTCTGTCACGAGATCTGAGAAATGTCAGAATTTCTTATATTGCATTCAGGTTGAACAACCTAGTTTAGGCCCTTCTGAAGAGCTTTCGTGGTCCTAAAAGGACCGTGTCCTACAGTTTATCACAATCCAATGCTGTTGTAATGTACTAGGAAATCTAAGAAGGCTTATGTAGCCTAGGAATAACAATGGCGATAATGATTAAGGTCTCATTCTGTGCCCAGAGAGAGAGGGGCAGCAAAGAGAGATGTTCAGGAGAGAACACCATTCAGCTCAGCTTTCTGTTGGACATCATTTAAAAAGCAAGTACCTCTGATGCGTGGCTAAAGCAAGAGGTACACACTCGTAATCTACCAGCACATCGTGGGCTGTGTCATGCCTCAGGCTGTGACACTGACAGCAGATCTCCCGGTAGATGCGTGCTCATACGCAGGCACACAATCAGCCGAGGACAGAAAGAAACCAGCACATAGGAGAGGTGATATTCCAGAGAGTCATGCCCAGATACTGAGCCACTATGACCTTTTTATTTGAAGAGATTTTTTGATAAACATTTGTAAATGTGTTGGGAGGGAAAACACCCCAAGTCTGATGCGTCTTTTTAGAGCTTGTCCATATGAAACCTTAGATGTCTTTTATATGAATTTATGCCATGAAAAGATCTCTGTTTTGATGAAGCACTTGACCCAATGAAATGAAAAGATGCTTTTTGCCATGCACACAATGGATGAAGGCTGTGGTAGCTGGAAGAGGCCAGGTTTGGTGGGGGTTTCTTCGGTTTTCTTTTTAGAATCATTCCCTTTGCTGACTTTTGAAGTTCCAGTCCAGTAGTTAACTTAGTTAAGCTCAGCACGTCTCTCATGTTAACGTAACGTTTTGACTGCACGTCCTGTTCCCAAGGGCCTTGCCATCTTATCTGTGCAGGTGCTGTTAAGAGCTATTATAGCGAATGTTTTCTAATTTTCTCGGAGACGAGCATTCTAACCTGCACTTTGAGGGCTTTGCTTTTTTTATTTTTGTCTTTTTAATGGCCAGGATTATTTTGTTTTCCAAGTTTTAAAAACCTTAATAGAGTCCTCACCTATGGCATTGTTTGAAACTTTGTATATCTTTAAGTAATTTAACTACCCCTCATTACTAAGAAAAAAAAAGAGGAAAAAATGCTTTATAAAATTCATAACTTATTGCTGATTTGAATGGGTTGTTAATTTCAGTCCTTTAGATTTTATTTTATTGTTTTAGGTAGGGTTGGGCAAAAAGAGGTAAAATAAAATAAAAAAATGAAGACAACCATATTTAGCAGTGCAGTGGAATTGTGTTTAAATGTTAGCATATGGTCCCCATTAAAGTAGCACTTTAACGCCATTAAACATTTCTGTATCTGAAATGAGTTGTGTTCTTCCATCTTGGTCATTTGTATCACTTTAGCCGACTCTTTGTTCTTCTTGTGCCCTTCGATCCTGCGATGAGAAGATCCTGAGCAAGTCTGCTGTAGAGTTTTGCATTATGATAAGTTGCCTGTGTTTAAATATTCTGATGTTTCCCCCGCTCTCCTCCAAAATGTGTCATCCCCTGTAAGAGGCACAACACACAGTAATCTTGCCATGGCTGTAATGAACGATTTCTGTTTGTTCTGGGTTTTTTAAATTTGCTTACTACAACTGGATCAGGTTGCTGTTGTTAAATCTGTTTTCACTTGTGTGTATGTAATCCAGTGCCGCAGTACATCTGTTCGTCTTCCTTCTGAGAGGTGACCTGGCAGGAGCAGGAGTCTGCCACGGACTGAATTGAGCTCTAAGTTAAAAAACAGGGCCCGAAGGTTTTCAAAGAAGAAATGCTGCTTGGATTTACGTTTGGCGTCCATATACAAGGTCCATGACACAAGGTTTTGGGACAGTCTTCTGGATGGTGAAAAGTGGGAAACTTTAGCTCTAGCAAGGCCTGATTTATTTTATATTTATTCATTATTATTATTCTCCTTGAAAGTGTTGACCACTGGCAGCCCTGGTGCTGAGCAGTTGAATACCAGTGGGATTTATCTATTTATGATCCTTTTTCTGTAGCTGTCGCAGCACCTCCTCCTTCTTGTTTGTTTTAAAGGGCCACTTAGGAAAGAAATATCACAGCTGAGAAGTCCTGAAGTTCAAGGGGTGGGGAATGGCTTCGGTCTCCTGGTTGGTATAAAACAGTGACGTGTCTCTGGTTGGAATAAACCTGTCTGAAATGTTTGTTTGTATGCTCCAGGGCCAGTTTGGTACCTCCTACCTTTTCTAGCATTGTGGACTCGAAGGGGTCTTGATATCAAGTGCAAATACAATGGGGAAAATGTAGCAGGAGATGAGCTTCCCTCACCAGCCACCTGCCTGACCGCTCAGCTAGCAGCAGTGGTCCAGCCAGGGAGAGGACCTGGGAAAAAACAAATTTAAGAGCCTTTATAATAACTTCTAAAGACGTGGGGTTGGTTGCTCTGGTGCTGAGGGGTTCTTTGTGGCAGGTCTTAGCAGGTTTCAGCTAGAGTTTGGATAGTTTCTTATGTGATGGAAACATTTCTCTGGCTTTTTGAGGTTGCTCTGCACTGCTTTATTACTGCGTTGTGGACTCCGGCCTTTTCTGTATGCTTGCACCTCACACGGTCTGTCGCACTCCTCACGTCTCCCTTCGTTGGTCTGGTCTGGTGCGTTGAAATGTTCAAGATGACTGATTTGCTCAGAGAAGTTGCTCTAAGTTACTTTGAAATGATTGTACAGGCCAATTCTTATGGTTATGCAGGACATCAGTTAGACTATCATAATAGTTCCTTCCGCTTAAAAATGCGTGAATCTCTGAGTTGTCCTTGTTGTGGCAAGCCAGAACAGTCCCATGTGCCAGATCTGCTTTACGGTTGTGTCACCGTTCAAAGTACCATCGAAGTTTCTACTACCCACCCAGAAATCTTGTCAAACAGAGTGAGTATCTGAAGGTGCAGATCCAAACCCTTGAGGGTCAAGTCTCTCCTTTGGAAGCTGAGATGGACCCTCACACTACTGAATTCTAAGAGATCCAATACAGCAAGTCAGATTTACTGGTTTTCCTCAGAAAAGTGCTCACAGAAGCTTACTGTCTGTTTTGTCTGAAAAAAAAAAAAAGAGTTCTTTTCATTCACCCCAAAAGATAAAGACACTGGAAGGATGTTGCTGTTCGGGTTCCCAACTCTAGTATTTTTTAAGGCACACCTATGTGGGATTTGTGCTGCTTCTGAGGCCTCGTTTTACTCCTCTGCAAGTAGAGAGTAAACACTTCACTCCCAGTCTTCTCCTCTGTGGCCCTAGGTGTCTGCCCACCACATCAACTCTAGTTTCAGCCGGAATAACACTTTATTCTCGCCACATGGTAATTTGGGCATGGAATCATATTTTCCTTTCATATATGCAAAATTGTGTGAGGGTTTTTTTATGGTTTTCTTTATGGGTGCTATTGTTTTTCTGCTTTAATTTTGTGTTTGTAGAGTAACAGAAGTCCTAAATCTATTTTGTGCCTAATTTTACAAGAATACGGTGACTTTTCCTGTAAGAACAGAATTGGATGTACTTTCCTTGGGCAGCTTGCCCACACAGTAGAGCCACATGCACGTGTGCGCACAGCTCCCTTGTAAGCTCACTCTGTCAAGCCCGCCCTCTGTAAATTAGATCCCTGGTGGGTCCTTTTGCTACAGACAAACCCATTAAAAAGACCATCCAGCATTTTCCTTCTTTTGACACAGGCGTATTACAGTATGTCATCTCGTGTCTGCAGACAAGGTGGAGATGACTATCTGGCTGCATTTGTCATGGTTATCCTGTGGCGAGTTGTCACCTGAAGGTCACTTTAATGTCCATTCCATTAGAGGCATGTCAGTGACGAAGGTGGTCTCAAATCCGTCCGTCTCAAGAAATCTGTAGGTTAATAGAAATGGGGTTAACTATGCAGACCTACGTTTTCCAGGTTTCCTGGTTGTGTTTTCCTTTTGTTTGTTTGTTTGTGTGCTACCATCTGTTTCTGGGTGGTGAGCTCCAGCCTCCTGCTTTTCTGCTCGTTGGTCTCTTGTATTTGCTGCTCCCTGTTTGTAGTCTGTGTTTCTGTGTTACCCTGTTGAAATGGATGAAACATTTGGCTTCAGTGGAAGTGGGATCAGTCGTGTGCACTAAATGGAGAGTGTCTTTTTTTTCCCCCAGGATCGTAAGCTTTTGTTGTTGCGTATTTTCTGGCCCCAGCCACATCATTGGAAAGAGAAACTGGGGTCGCTTCCTGGAAGATAATGGTAAAAACCAGGACTTCGTTCTGAGGGTAGGGAGGTGATAATACTAGTAATGAAAAAGAAGTCCATAAATAACAAAGTCTGATGCTTTTTCCTGGGGCTTTGTTCTGCGGACAGATTCTGTGGCGAGCGATACATTCTGTGACCTGACAGTGACTGAAATTCCTCCGCGTGCGCGATGGTCTCTGAACTGTCCTGTGGGACCCTCGGGGAAGAGGAGCGCGTCCTTCTTCCTCTCTGTTCACCAGCCTGCACCAAATACCTAGAAAATACTGATGCGCTGTCAAATCTGCTTGAAATCGGCCAACAGACCTGAGTGATGTTTGAGAGGACGAACAGGGGAGAGGAGAGCGGTTGTCTGCATACACAATGTTTTCCTTTGGAGCGACCTGTTACAGAGAGGCAGGTTGTTTAATTGGGGATAAGACATCAGCACTGACCCCTGCTTCTCTGCTCATTGCCTCCTGAAGAGAGGACTGATCCCTTTAATTATTAGGCAGAAGCAGAAACAAGGAGTCTGTGGGTATCGGCACTATGGCTCTGGTACTAAATATGTAGTATTTAGGGTTTCTGTTTGGGGTGCTGCTGTGTTTGACTAAAATTAAAGCATTTTCTCACAAGGAGGGACGCTTATGTTGAGGCCCCTTCAAAAATTCCAAGGATCAGGAATTGCTGAGCAGCCTCTGGGAAGGGTGCATGAGGCCTGTGAGGCGAGCGCTCCTACAGGGCTGGCGACTGGGTCACACCGTGCTGCTGGCCTGACTGATGCACGTCAAAGGTATGAAATGTCACTTTCTTCAGAAATACCTTCGATGTTAACCATGCTGTAAGGGCTGTGGGTAATATGGTAATTTATTTTTACCACAGTGGAAAAAATCAGCCCCTTAGTTTGTAGCACCCCGATGAGGCCCAGAGCAAGCCGGTGAAGCAAGCTGGTTAATTTGGCCTTGAACAAGTCATTCAACGTCTTGGCTTGTACTCCGCTGTGCTGCAGTCATGCGCTGAAGCTTCATTTTAATACAGCATTTACTCAGAGGAAACAAAGCGCTGCAGAGGACTGATGTTGGTCTTCAGCAGGTCAAGGAAAGGCAGCCATACGTTCCCGGGGAGCGCGGGGTGGCCCCGGCCAGTGCTTTTAAGGCCATGAAGGGTATTCACGTACTGGAAATGTGGCGGTTCAGAGGAATCGGGCAGAGAGGAATGATGAGTAAGTGGCTCTGAGCACTAGTAATGATGCTAATCTCACCTCGGGGAATGCTCCTGGGTTGGGATTTTCTGCAGTAGCGTCACTCTGGGGTGTTTCGTCATACAGATCTGACTGCAGCGTGTCTGGGGCTGGAGGACGCTGGCATTTCTTGCTGCCTTCCAGCAAGCGATAGCTGTAGCATGCCTCCTCCACGAGGTGAGAGTTACAGGGGTCGTTTGAGAGAAGACAGATTGAGCATTCATCTGTTCTTCCCCCCCGTGATTCCCACTGGAAGAAACGCTAGTGAGCCAGAGAGCCACTCCGTGCACAGGCAGTCAGCTTTGGGCCAAACTCCTCCCCTCCCGTAAGGTCTCATCGCCATCATGAACGTTGCAGCAGGGCTGCGTTTCAGCAAGGATTAATTTTGATCTTGAGGGACATATTGCAGCAAAGCGGGATAAACCATCAAAGGAATTTAAAGCATTTTGTGGTGTTTTTAACGTTGTGGTTGCCAGTCAGAACATACACAGACCTAGTTCATAACTTGACTTGGGCTACCAGTGCCCTAGCTAGTGCTCAGTTTAGCTAAGGCTAGGAAATGCTTTCCATTTAACCCCTTTTCAAAAATACTTGTCTCAAAACAATGAATTGTTTTGGATCTCCTCCCGGAAGGCTTGATGGGGAAATAGAAAAGGTCTTTCCTCTCCCGGACTGGTGGACAACTGTAGAAAATGGCACTCATCGCCCTAGGGAACACCAGCTTCAGCAGGTCTGCTGAAAATGTAAGGTTTAAAACTTAGCATCACTTGAATTCCTCATGCAGAGGAATGCTTCTCTTTGGGAAGCAACATCACCTTTCAGTCTAGGTGAGAGCAAGACATTTTCTGTCAGCATCCATCATGGGAAAGCTTTGCACTTCCGTAGGGACCAAGGCGTCATTGCAAGGTGAGGTCAGCATGGAGGGGTAATCGCATTACAAAAGGAAATAACGTGAGCGGGTTTGTGTAGCAGAGCCTTCAGCTCCGCTCTAGAGGTTTTGACATGTCAGTGAAGTTGCTTAATCAGGTCATATGTTCACAGGTTGCTAGCTTGGGTCTGTGGCATGGATGTTTACCATAGTCCTGATGCAAACGTCCCTCCTTTTTTTGCAGTCTGGTAAGTGAAGCTTTTTAGAGCTCAGAGAAAGACTGAACAAATGGCAATGCAAAGAGCAGCACCAGCTGCAAGGCAGTGATACTTCTCTTGGGCCCAACTCGGGAACGTTTTCGGTAATGCCAGGCTTAGCGTAACTGTTGTGAGACACGCAGGTGGTGGTTGTGTCACCAGATGCTGCCATAGTGCTGATTCAGGTGAGTGGAAGAACATCAATGGTGTTGCCTTGTAAACACCTACCGGTTTTGCCTACTAAACATCTCCAGTGTTGAACTGCAATATCTTCCAAGTTTATGTCCTTTTTTGTACTTGCAAACCTCTGAGCCCAAGCATCTACAAAATAAGTGAAACAACAATCCGACTCTGGCATAAAGGAAAGCAAAAGAGAAATGGATTGCTGTGACCGTGAAAATAGAAAGTTGCTACTCTTAAGACTGTTCTAAATACTTAAACTGACTGGTGCAGTCCCAGATTTGTGAGTCAGGTTTGTGGTGGTTTAATTTCCCCAACAGATGGAACTTTGCACGAGGTTGAGGCTGTACTAGATAAACCATTCCCTGGAGTAACTTACTTCTGAGAGGAAATGTGTAGCCCATACTGGTCATCTTGCACAGTATCCTTATCTGAAAGGAGCAAGTCTGCGTTCAACAGGTATCTTTTCCATAATGTCTCCAGCTTAGTGGGTTTGCACTCTACTTTTACGCTTAACTAACTTTCCCTCTGTCATTTCAGTATTTCTGTCTGCTTTACAGCAGGATTTGTGGGCACTTACTTACTCTGCTTGCTGAGGGGCCCAGAAGTCAATGCAGAGCATGGGTTCTGAAAAATCAAGTTTCTTAGTGTTTAGAGCAGCTAATAAAACTGGGAAATAAAAACCAAACAGACAAAACACTTTCAGCCGCACATTTCAGGTCACTTCAGTGTTTGTAAAATAAAGAACTTTTTGTTTGTTTGTTTTGGCAATTACCAGCATTGCTTAACCTATGATTTATTTTGTCTATGTGAATTTCTCAAGACCCTTGCCTAAGGCAGTGTCCCACAGCCCGACTACACACGAACCCACCCCGGCCTGCAGAGGAGGAAACAGCATCAAAACCAATTCAGGTGCCACAAGGGCGGGCTCTGGGGCCAGGGTGGCAGTTTTGGTGTTGGTTTATACAAGTTGTCTTCAAAATGTTCTCTTCCATAGCTCAGACGCCCCCAGCCACAGTGGTATCACTGCACCACTGACTATTCCAGGTACGGCAGTTAAGGAAAAAGCGTTATCAAAAGTTTTTCAGCAGTGTTTCTTTGCAGCGCCCAACAGACGCGTTACAGCTGGCTTTGCCAGGCAGCCCAGACTGTAAGAGGTGACTGATAAATATGTTACTCAAAGGAAATGTTGGCATTACAACCAACTGTGTACTAGTTTTGCTAAATTTTTTTTGAAGGGCTCAGCAGATACAAAGCAGCCCATGAGCCCAGCTCGTTTTAACTTGGGCTGGACTGCCCGTTCCTGTAGGGGAGGTTCTCGCGCCCGCTGCATTCTGATGACTCAAGCACGAAGTTCTCTTCAGGACTAGTGAATAAGCAGTCCTGTGATAGACCATTTATTACATTTATTCAAACCCAAGTCCATGTCAGGCATGGTTTAAGTCTCTTTCTCCAAAGCCTTTAAAAAGTTTGATCAGGTGGAGCTAAGGAAAGGCTCACATGGCTTCCTGAGAACTCCAGTTCTGCCTAGTTTTTAGTGTGTTTCTGTTCTAACTTTTCTCTTCCAACTGTGTGTTCCTTTTGGATGCTGCAAGTGACGCAGTATCTCTGTATCGCAGCCATCTGGTCACAGTTGGTCACCAGGTGACAACAGGTGACCTTCCTCAACAGTCAGCTGTCCACGTTGCAGGACTACCACCTATTTGATGTCACTGCTGAGACATGTCCAGGGTGCAGGCTGCAGTACAAACTCCCTTTCCAAAAAGGAGCGAGGTCTTCCCTCAGATTATCTTATAGTAAATTAAGAGGTTTTCTATGCAAAAGAAAATGTACCCTGCCTGCTGCCAGTGAAGACGAGGAATTAGGCAACATCCACTTCATCCTGCAGCAAGCCCATTCCCATTCACTTTTGCACGTGATGTTCCATCCCGCAGGTTCTGTACTTCCCACTTCCCTGATCGTTTACTGCCCCTCCATATATGCTCCCACTTTGTCAAATGTCTCCAGCAGATTTTAAACACTTTATTTAATAAAAGTTAAACATACAAAACTGAAATTAACACACTTTGTATTCATAAAAATCACCTTCTCCCATTATAGGGAGAACCTTTTTCTATGTATGGATTCTAAACTACCAGTTGTAGCGTTTAGCTTGAGTTGTGACTCAGGTAACTGATGGACGTCGCCACCAATCAGTGCATCAACAATTGCTGACGTGACCTGATCTAGGTAACAAATTACAAAATGAGCTACATTAACATAATATACAGGGAAATAATGGTCAGGGTTAATGGACAAGAAACACCCTTTAATTATTTAATGGGGAAACAGCTGATGTGCTCTTGTCCATTAACTCAGCCCTAGATTTTACAAAAATAATATCTACATTGTATACAGGGCTACCCATTAACTTCTTGAAACACATCAGGGATTCAGAGATGGCACCACTACTGTAAGTGAGAGACGAGTAACAAAGGAAAGCAAATCACATAAAATACAAGGAAGCAAGAGCTTTTACACGTGGTTTCCTGAATAAAATGGAAGGGGCTCAGCAGCACTGTAATACAGCTGAAGTTACAACGAACACTAGGGCCAGGCAGTTCTTCAAGGACAGAAACCTCAGACTAACCTTTACTCACTCACAACTAAGCGGGATCTAGGCATTCGCATCTGCCGTGCTGCAGTTCTACTTGACCGGAGGGAGGAGGCCCAGACACAAGCGGCTACTGTCTATGCCAGGTCCGTGACCGTACCATCAAACCTACAAGGTCTACAAGAGGGGAAAGCACAGCCATTTATGTTCTCAAACTCTCTGATCCTTGGGGAGGGGCAGGGTGGGTATTTTTAAGTACAGTTCTCTACTGGAGTCTAAATACCTTGTCCTATGGTTTTCTGGTTACATTTCAATAACCTTTCAATAACCTCCTATTAAAATCTGATGAGTATTTAAAAAAAAAAAAAATCTCCTCTGCCTAACTTCTAGCACAGGAAAATCAGACTGGAATTAAAGTCAGATTTATTGTTTCTAGCACATGAATCATTAGTAATAAAGATCCTATCGGCCCTGTTCTGCCCTCATTTACAGCTGTACAAATCGATCTTCGGTGGATTTGTAAGGGAGTAATTTAGAACTTCCTTAGCAATCCCATGTGACGTATAAGCTATGATGGAGTCCAGCTCTCTCTCCCAGAGCTGCGGCGGCTCTGTAACGCTGAGCTGGTCGCTGAGACAGCGGACAGCACTGTGACTACAGAAACGAGGGAGGCTGTTAAGGTGCCATTTTTATACTACCACTTTTCTTAAGGGAAAAAAAACCCAAAACTTCTCTACTAGTATGAATGGAAGATTCCAGAGATCAGAGCTGCAGATAACTACTGCTTTCAGAGTAACAAGTAACAGCAGTTCATGAAAGCATTTACCTGCAGAACATATTTTAATGCAACTACAAAAAGTTTAATGATTAGGGGGGTCAAATCAATAGCTGGAGATTTAAGGCTCATATCAGCTGAAGCCAAAGTGATGGTGACAAAATGGACTACTCGCTATGTGCCAACAAATAATTTACTTTTAGAAAAATATAATGATAAAAAGATAAGTGTAAAGCCCTGCAGAGATGAAGTTCCACCTTTTTCCCCTGTTACTGAGGCATCAAATGCCTGACATTATATTTAGAGGTATCTTGATACTGTGTCATAGGTTTGTCTGCAATTCCGCATGTTCCGACTCCAACCTTGCCAGTTACGCTCTCAGGGGAAGCAAAAATACTCCTCTTTACCTGCAAATGAAACAGAAAACACCATTTCTGAATAATTACTAACTTGCTCTTAAAAAACCAAGCAATCATTACCATTTGAAGTGTTTCAATATCCTCAACTTCTTACTCCGTAGCCAGGCATGCTTTCTGAAGGCTAGCTCATCTGTGGCACATTATCAGCGGGTGAGACAACAGAGCTGGGAACTCCTGGCACCTAAGGACTGGATCTGACTGTGGTGCTCCGGGCCTCGAGTCAGGCCAAAAATGAATAAAATTCACCTCTCCCATACGATGATCTCTAATAATTGTTCATAAGGAAGACTGAAGTTTTACCACTATGTCTGGCAGCTCTTGGTCAAGCCAGGACAAAAATGAAATAAGGCTTCAAAATGTCCTTGCTTACCATTTTTGCACCATGCTTGCTATTCCAGGGCAGTTACTTAGTGCTGTGTCTGACGGGTCATAAACACAGCAAGAAGTCAGGCTTGGAGGTTTAGACAGGCCCTCTGGTCCTAAGCTCCAGCAAACACTACCTGGCAACTGAGAGCCCAGCTCTCCAAGCCAAGTGCTAGCTCAGCCCCTTAAGAGCAGCACTCCTCCAAAACCATCCAGTACAAAAGCAGGCCTTTTACGTGTACAAAACACCAAACCGCACACTTCAGAATCCCAGAGATGAACCCCCCTTAAATCTCTTCAAAAAACACTTCCTCCTCTCTCCCAAAATACTGCACAGAATTCTATGCCCTGTTGTTATTCATGTACTGACAAAACCAAACCAACCTGGCCTTTTTTGTTTTTAGAATAGGCTCTGTTGTTAAACTGTTGCCACTTGACTTTCTGGTCCTCTCGTTCCTGTTCAAGTTCTTTGATTCTCTGAGCTTTTTTCAAAGCTTTCTTCTTTTTATACTCTCGTTGCTGGGCTATCATCTCTTTTCTGGAGAGAAGGAAAAAAGACATTTTATGTTTGTGCCTTTTCCTGTAAGAAACTAAAACTCTGTAAGACAGACATGCACAATAGTTTTCCATAAGTAAGTGACAGAAAACAAAGCCTGCAAATATTCTCCACTATTTAAATAGCCCATTCGAGTGAAAAGCCCAAACTTTTCTGGAGGTCTGCAGGACTCTGATGCTACCAGGTATTGGACAGGGATGGAAGGAAAAGAACAAAGATGAGTTACTTCAGTAAAGATAAGGAAGTTCAAGGAGTCGATCTATGCCGCAATGCAGCGCCCTCAGAACGATCCCTTAGGGAAGGGAAATTCTACCACTTTTTTTCTTCCCCCAAAAAATAAGTTTTCAGCCCTTAAAAATACCTTTCTGTCTTAGACATGGTAGGATACTGAGTAAAGCACATCTCCCCAGCGACAGGGTCAACACAGCCATCCTAACACAGGGACGGGGCAGAAGCAGAGCCCTTCAGACTGGTAAGCACACTCTGTCGTGGGCCAGAGCACAGATGGGAGTAGAGCCTGCACTAGATCTGGGCTGAAACTTGTAGGCTCTCTGCTGTCAATGAGAGAGTACTATTTTTTTTTTTTAAATCTACTGCTTACATACTTGGTATCCTGAGATAGCATAATCTTGAGTAAAACAAAGTCTATCATGTTATCTTGCCAGGATACATAACACACATGATACCAGCCACAATAATCTACCAAACATTATCTGCTAGATTGATTTACGATCCTTTTTCAAGCAAACGTGAAGATATTAAAGATATGTAAAACTTCAAAAAAAGAGAGATTCTATTTCATTAACCAATTTTTATTGCTGGGGGAGGGGGGACAGACACGACACCAACATCCAAAGCAGCTTTCAGACTTCTGCCTGCATATTACTTACTTGGACATGGGTTTGTTGCCACTGTCCTCTTTCGCTTTTCTTCCCTCTTCCACAGGCTTGAGGTTGAACAGAGGTGTAACTTCAGCATTGCCATATCCAGCAAATGTCACTGCAGCTGTTCCGTTCTCCTCATCTATTTCTTCAATCTCAGCTTCATAACACCTGTAAAGATATCATGGCTGTAAGCATGTGAGTAAAGCTTTAATACTCAGCCCTTCAACACCTACACTGTCAGCCAGCTAATGGCATTAAGTAAAAAATTTGCAAATACTGGCCTTCATTTTCAGGGGCAATACACAAATCAAACAAAGAGATTATTTTTCTTAAGGTCAAAGGGACACAAGTACAAAGACTGGAATCTGCTGTATTTGACCTTTAGCATCAAGAAGCAATGGCCTCACAGTTCTCAAAACTAATGATTAATGCTGGGGCCAATCTAATCAGATATCCTGCTTTGGTTCTAGTTCGGGCAGGTCATGGGATTGAAAAAAAAGAGACCCAACAAAATACTGCGTTCAACAGAACACAGCTTTCAGGGAATTCACTGAGGAGTTCTGGAAAATGTCAGCTCACAAGAGCAAAGCTTTGGTTCCATTTTTCTCCATATGAAAAAGAATTAAGAAAAACGGAAGCTTTCAAAATATTCCCCCTTCAACACCGAAAGGTTTTCTCACTGGCTTAAAGTAGCAATTTTTAAATTTTAGCAAAAATCAGTCCACTTCATATTTATGCGTACAAAACATTTTGGTCAACCAAACTGACCTCATAATGGGACAGAGGAAAAAGGACAAGTGACATTTCCAAAAATATTTAAAATTATTGAGTCTAAATTCAGAGCAAAAGGATTTATCTAAAGCAAACAGAGGAATAAAATGAGATGTTTCATAGGCAATATTCTAGTTAACATTTACTAAATTAATTTCTTCTGTGATTTTAGTGGGCCAACATCATCTTGATTTGAGCTAGATGAAAATACATGGAAACCCAAACTGCATGAGGTAAAAAAATATTAAGCTCTTCATGAAACACTGGTCATTTCTGGAGTGTTGTAACAGAAGCAGGGGGTTAAAAAAAAAAAAAAAGCAATACAATAAAGTCCAATAAGTTCCACTTCAGTGGACACTCTGGCACATTCTTCCCCAAGCTCTGATCCTGTAACCCAGTGATCAGAGCAAGAAAAATGACCCAATGGTGACCTAAGACAGCAAGATTCAATTTTTAAGTTGTTACACAAAAGCATTTTACTCATTAATAATCTGTGACAGAAAAACTGTTTACTTTTAGGTTTGTTTTCTACCTAAGACATCAATAGCTGTACCAAAATCTCTGTGTGGTTACTACATTGTTGATAGAACCACATTTGTTGAACTAGAGAGCTTCTCTCTAAGTGGTAATGGCTGGGATTTAGTTCTGCACAGACAGTAATTTAAAAAAAACTGCCACAGTTATCCATTTTGCAGTATGGAAAGTAATTTTAGAATGTTTATTTCAAAGATTATGAAGTCAGAATGAACTGCTTGCGTTCCCAGAACTTCACAGGCTAATGTAATGGAGACTGAATCCAAAAAGTTGATTAATTCTATAGTTACATTACACAGCTAGTTATTTCATAGCCAAGAAACAGCATTTCCAATTAAAAACTGATTTCCAATTAGTGGCACAAACTGAGATACAGCAGGGATTTTTCTTGATAGCAATCAATTAGATATATATGAATGCAATGACAAATTATGAATTATACATCCTGAAACCTTTATGAAAGACTGCTCTGACAGATCAATTCATGAAAGTCTGCCGCTTATTACATTAGCAAATGGTAATTTACCAAAGCTACCCTACTTTTATAAGGTTAGTGACAAACAGGGCATTCCTAGACAATGACCCCACATCTCTGTGCTTTTTATCTAAAACACTGACCTTTATTAAAGAGAGTACAAGAACACCCAATATCATATTTCTTTCCAAATTTCTTTTTGCGTTTAGTCACCCTAGGGGCAGTTCAAACTGAATGAAAGTCTCTTACCATTGAACTATTTCATGTAACCGTTAGAGAAGTTTTCTACACTTACTGTCCATCCTCACTCCATATCGCCATACACCTATCCCCAACCTTCCAGGAGTGACTGGGCAGAGCAGAAGCAGAACTGTCAGAACTTGCAAGAGTTTCCGAAGGTTGTGTTGAAAGGAGATCTTTGGTTAATTCTATGACTTCCTATAAAAGATAAAAAACCCACAAAGAATAATTTTTCAAACTCTGTTACCATGCATATTTTTATCCCAAGCTTACTGGTTTGGTTTTTTTGAAGTGACTGTATTAAATTCATAGCTGACATAAAGTGGACTAAGCTTGGTTTGGTTTTTTAATCATTTAACTAAACTCACTCGTCGCCAACATAGATAAAAAGATGTATGGTCCTCACTGTATTGCAGTAAAGCTGCCCATGCCCTCCTCAAAATTTCAAGAAGTAGCCTATTTTTTTTATAGCATTTCTTTCTAGGTGAATTGTTTATCCATAGGCACAAAGACACAGCTAGACAGTCTCAAGAGAAGAAACAAAAAATCAACAGTGTGACTCTGTACACATGGCTGCATGTGATGTCCGTTATTGACCAAAAAATCACACAACACATGGCAGAGCGAGTATTCAGCAGGCCAGTGCTCTGAAGACAAAACGTGAAAGGATGTAACGCTTCTATTCTCTCCCTAGCCGGCAGTTTCTTTCATCCCTTCCCGTTTGGGACTGGCTGGCTATATTATATATAGTTATCTATGGGACAAACAACAACTACAAGTGCAGCATTTCTAAGTGACAAAACATTTTTCAATTTACTCAAACATTTGTGGGTTGGCTGAACTGAAGCACCCAGAGCCAGGGTGGAAGAGTGCCTTCCAAGACTGCCACTCTGTAAAGCCCTTCCCTTTATAGGAAGCACTCAGGTGCGTAATACAGAAATTGATTTCATTAAGTCATTTTGATATAAGTGTTTATTTTTCTCTAAATTCCCTGACCTCAAGATTCCAGGTCAGGCCTTCCCTTGCTAATCCAACAAGACAAATAGCAAAATAACAATTTTTTCCAGTTCCTTAAAATATTATTCATTCACAGACAGGAGCATGCAAAAACCCCTCCCAACTTCCTGTCAGTGTTCTCGTCTTGTTCTGCCCAGTCAAGACCACTGGTTTTCACTAGTGTTAAAAGCCAGAGCCAGCACCTAAAACGTCATTTAAACTTTCTGTATAAGGCAAAGCAACTCTGCAGTCCCTGAAGAAAAAAAAAAAAAATCTTCATTTTTTTGAGTATCTCAGCATGAACCATTGTCACTCCCCTAACTAACAGTAAATATTTAAATTAGGGGAGGGTTACAGATAAACAATGTTCAACTGAGGCTCAGTGGAGCCTGAACTTTCCTCCCAGTTTCACATCCTAGTTCAGCTATGGGTGTACAAAGACTAGCTCAGGAAAAAGCAGTAAAGAAGCTGTTCTTCATGAACAGCTCAAGAACCTAAAGGGTCACAAGCAGTCCCCAAATAAGAAATAATACAATATACACTTACATGCACTTTTATCCGATAAACCATACAACTGGCATGAATGGCCTAACACCTTGTTTCTGTTGCAGCTGTTAATGTCTGAATTTCCAACACCTTCCTAACAAAAGTTCTGCTCTTTGTTTTAGAGGAGCTGCTAGTTAGAAAGTGCAACAGTAAGCACAGTCAGCAGCAACCGTAAGCACAGAAACGTGCTTAGGATTACTTCTACTACTTTGGTCTCCATTTTCCGTAATACTACAGCTGAACCAGAACAGATTTTGATTATCAAGTTACCTAATTTGAGAGCGCTCTGCAGAACATACAGCATTAGCCCGATTTTCCCTCCCAGATGCAAAATCCCAAACTATTCCTCAACATACCGATAGTTATATTCTGCAAATCCAAGAGGCATCATGGTTTGAAATGGGTATCTTCTCTCAGCAGGTCAAATACAATATATCAGGCACAAGCTACCTGAAAGTGAGTACTTCAGCTATGTAGACTACCGGTAATACGCAACTGTTGATTTATTCTTGCCACGCTCATAGATGGCTTATTGTAGAACTCAAATGTGAATAGCTTCAGACAAGTCTACCAAGGGTTCTTTGAATTTGATAAAAGTCACCCACACACTGGGCTATAAATAGCAAACTTTTGGTAAAAATCTTCATCTGATATCCACATCTCATAGTGCTAAGCACACAAGACAGAAACATTAATTTTATTGCAACCCATGAGATAGTTCTAAAGGCTTTAATGGAATAGCTCATTCAAGGAAAATTTCTGAGCACCACAGCAGCTCAATACGGCCAAGCGGGTTGAACACTGTGGCTTGCTGCCACGTCCCCGTGACATGAAGGTGTGACCCGCAGAGAACACTAGTTAGAGTTTGCCAAGATTTTTCCTGACCAACTGGTCTTTACAAAGCCAGAGAGAGATCTACACTCCAGAACGGAACACCCACAGATATCATCTCCGATGACAGGAGATGACAGCTGCCATCAATTCTACTTGATACAAAAGGTAAGGTTGGTCCTTGGGCGCACGGACACTGTCCTAGAAGCACTTCAGTGAAAAAGGTGAAAAGCAAAGCTTTTATAAAAAATTCTTGTAATATTTATTTTAATCTCGTTACTCAGGAATAAGCAGAGTATACGAAATGCAGTAGTGCATCACTACTTATGACAGAAAAAAAAAGTTTCAATTACATTGTAACAATCTTTTTGAACTAATTTGACAGCTATTTAGTTGGGACACTGAAGCATCGAACGCATTTTTACAATTGTTAGGTTGGCATATATTAAATCTGCAAAACATTATGTCATTTTCAAGGTGGAACATATGGATAGCAAACCTTTTGGGGACGAAAGTGTAAAGATCTTCCCCATTCTGTGCAGAAAGCTTTTATAAAAAAGTTTGCAAGTTGTCCTTTCACATCAATGATCTCTGCATATCAAAGCCGAGGTCGTGTTGGTATCGGAAATATCATCCCATATGGGTTTTGCTGTGCATTTTAAAAATATAAAAATATACACATGCTTTTAACGGTGTACAACGAAGGACATTAAGATGATCTATAAAGTGCCTTGTGGGCACAACACCTTTGTAATTTAAAAGGAATTCTAAAGATCACAGATTTGAGGCACTACTCGTATTTTGGTTGAAGCATCATTTTTATTGCTGTTATTTCCATACAGAATAGTGATTACTCAATCTTGTACTCGGTAATTTTATATATTTTTAGATCTGATGGATAAAGCAATCCACAACAGAAATGAAGCAGCATCTTGCACTCTCATGACAAATTTTAACAGTACTGCTGGGTTTTTTTTTATATGCCAATGTGTCTTTATATGCACAAGAATCTAAAAGACCACTTATCAACTTCAAATTAGGCTGGTGGTCTTCCTGTCACTGAACAATACCCTCAGGACCAGAAATGGTTTTCAGCTCTTAAGAATGTGGCACGCTCTCAAATGATTAAAAAACTGCAGGTGGCAAAAGAAGAACACAACTCTTTTCCTTTCGGAGATAAAAAAAACCTTAACACAATCAAGGCTTAGATGTACAAGGAATACAGACCTACACTCTAAAGCTTTTATCATTGCAAACACATGCAATGAATAAACAGATTATGGATCAAATGATTTGACAACTCAAAAATAAGCAGAAAGGCATAATGTTAAGCCCAACCATCAGGCTTCAGCTTAGTAAAAGCAACACAAAATAATCAATTTCTGAGAAATGCTTTTAAAAAAAAAAAAAAAGAAAAAGAGACAGTAAAGACAGCACTGGCATATCTTTCATTACTCTGGCTAAAGTTTTTAGCAGAAGAGTTTGCTGTATAAATTAGTAGATCTTTTTTACTAATCTACAAGACAGGTTTAAAATAGGCCACACTTTGGGTTTTTTCAAACCAACCCTACCATAATCGTATCAAATTCTGTGATAAGAAAGTAATAAACCCTCCAAGCATATATTTTTGTTGCAATGTAAATACTTAGGAAAGATGAAAGACCTGCTAAAGACCCTAAAGTTTCATCTGTTCGTACCCTCAAGTTCTCACCTGTAAGTCTTTCTTCAATTTTAGTAAATCTTCATTTTCTGCGTTCCCAGATAAGGCAGCCTCAACTTGCTGAAGCTGAGCTTTGTAGCTAGCTAACTGCTTAGCAAGGTCTTCCGACATCTGCAAGAAACATACACACACAACACATAAAAACAACAGCCTTGCTGCTTTTTAATCACGCCTCGTGGTGCAAGTGAAGTGAAACTGATAAATAACACGAAAAGCTATTAGTAAGATATTAAAAATACAACTCGCTAAGTGTCAGTAACGCACTATTTGACTACAGAGAGCCGCTCACCTTGGGTTCTGTACTGTTCAACTACTCCCAAGCAATTTCTGAAAAAGAAAGCTTAAACACGGCGTGCCCGTGTGAGTTACGACTCACGGTACGCAAGCAGCGGGGTCTTTCGGCAGCCCCGAAATCACCCACACCTGTAGAAAACCGCCGCGCACCACCGCGTTTCCCCTCCGGCTGCCACAAGCCGCGGCCTCCGCGTTTACGGCAGGGGGGCCCCCGCCCCCCCCCCGGGGCCCAAGGGGCGGC